TATGTAAAAAAAAAAAGAAAAAAAAAAGAAGAGAGAGAGAGAGAGAGAGAGAGAGAGAGAACACAATCTATAGGTAGATAATATCCTTTTTATGAGGATATGAAACTCCTGACATCTGAAAAGAACCAAAAAACCAAAGAATAAATAAATGTTAGTTGGAAATACATATAATTCATTACCTCAGATAATGCTTCAAGTTGTCTGAGAAGCAAATCGAGCAAATCTATTGACCACTTGTTGGTGGTAAGAAGCCTAATACAGAATGACTCATCTTTTCCCAATTGCCCAAGGTAATTCTACTCAAAAGTTGAAAAGGAAACAACATAAATAGATAAATAGTGGAAGAAATTAGCACAAGTATTGCATTTGACTAATTCTGTACTACTCACTGAGACAAGTTTTCTTCTAGACTTGATTTCATCCTCAAATTTCTTAATCTTTTCGATTTAGGACAACACGCGATGAAAGCACAGGCTATGGTGAAATCAAGGCCTGGTGAAAACAAAAGACAATCCTCTGATTGTTCCACTTCCTCTAATGCTTCCACAAAAGCTTGGCAGTCCTTGTATTGCTTCTCGGCTACCAATTACAAATAATAATGAAGAAAGATTGAAAAATTGATCGAACTAATTTAAAAGCTCAAAACACCATAATTCAGCCTACCATGTTTAGCAATAAGTTGAGTGTCTTGTTCAATCCATTGTGCTTTTTGCCCGTGCCCTTGCTGGCCAAGTCCTCCAAGGAAGTATGCTGATAAAAGTTAAAGAAGGGGTAGGAAGTATGCTGATAAAAGTTAAAGAAGGGGGCAAAAAGCCATCTAAAACAATATTTAATTAAGCATCAACTATGAGATGCATAAAAATAAAAAATAAAAAATAAAAAATAAATAAAAAATTAAAAAGAAACATAAAATGCTCAGACTATGGTGCAAAATCTTTACCTCAATCTGGTGTTCGATGAAACCTTTAAAAATTGCGGCTTCGAACATTTTTCCCACTGATTCAACAGCTTTTTTTTTCCCTGCTCATGAACATTTTCTATCACAGAAAATTTTTGCAGAAGATCAAAAGCCTTATTGTTGGCTTTCGTTTGCTTATAGTAATAAATCTGTCGAGAGGATGAACACTCTTTAACAATAGCACCTCACAATTACCGTATAAATCAAACTATCGAATGGAATTGTCTTATTCACTCAAAATTAATTGTGTGTGTTTCTAACCTATTATCTTACCCCAGCATCGATTTTAAAGGATCACATTCAGGAGGCTCTGTACAATCGAGCAACCCATTGTCTTTTAGCATCTGAGCTAAGGCTAACTAAATTAAGACACCGCGCATTTTGGTATCCGTCATCCGTGGAGTCCTTTATAATTGGAAATTGAACTACTGACTTCTGAAAATCAATATAATTAAAAAAAAAAAATGCTTAGAGATGGATTTGAGCAAAGACGAAGAACAAAGAAGGGATCGATGGAAGAAGAAGAAAGGAAAATTGGTACTCCGATGATTCCTAATTGGAGGGAAGCTAAACAGATCTCCCCAATCACAGGCAATGGGCCTTCCGGCCCACATGTACTCACCCACAGTTGGCCCAATTCCCCCAACTGTCCCCTTGTTCATAATCTCTCTCGCTTCTTTCCTGATACCCATAACTTCACCCCATTGGCTCTAGTTGGCATTGATATTGGACAAAAGCACCCAGCCACGGAAGCAATGGCAACGTGGATGGACGATAACAGGACAAGTTGTCGATTATAAGACACAGCCACGGAGCCCTGGGAGACTAAGTCCTTGTTTGTTCCTGCCAAAATTCCCAATCCCAAACTCAACGAAATTGATGTAGTAAAGAAATTGATATATTCAGGAAACAAAACAATGTGAAAATCCCAAATTTATTCATGAAACAAAGCGTGAAAAAGAAATTGACCTGCTCGTCTAGGCTTTGGACATCGCGTAGGGCGGGCAGTGGTGGCGTCGATGGTGTACTTTTCAGCCAATGGAAGGAGCCAACCATTGGCTCCATAGCAAAACCGTAAGTGATCAATATAAGGAACGGAAATTAAATATTAATTGGGTTTCTGTGAATATCTTTAAAAGAAATCTAACATTCCTTGTTTCTACAATGTCTGCAATTTCAGGTGATTAAAACTGACTTCGTTATATTAATAACCACTCAAGTGAATAGAGTAAAACCCATTTGGTCGAATTATGCCTTATTTAGCAATTTTCTGTTTTCAGATGAATTCAATTTATCACAACCCAGGTCTCAGAATGGCAATCAAACTAGACAACACCAAAGTCCATAAAAACAAGCAAATCCTTGGTCCATTGTTAAAAGATCACTAGACTGGAATATATATCCATAATAAATTAAAAATTACGAAAGAAATCATATTTGGAAAATAGAAAAGAAGAAAGATTATATTAGATAACTAAAGATTCAATGTCCTGTTAGTCATAAAGCTAAATAAATTACCTGGACAGCCGTAAGAAACACGACCCCTAAAACGAATTCCAGCTCAGTCTCACAACAATCAATCAATCTTATCCCAACAATAGCCTTCCCAATCCAACTCAAGCAGAATCAATTCCTAAACCAAATTCCCACATCATACCATCACCAGTAATCCCCACACGAACACACCCCATCCTTAAACCGATGAAACCTACTCGAATCCCTCACCGTAATCTCCCTACCCACAATCCTCGATATCACCTTAATAGCAGCGTGGCAATCCACGCACGCCCTCAAATTCTTCATCACCACTATCGGCAAACCCTCCTTAGTCTTAATAAGAGCAAAAGCAATCGCCAACCTCTCACTATGGTACTTGAGCGACTCGGCTTTCGCCTCGTCATCCACTTTCTGTAAGGCGCAGCTCACATCCGGCTGGTACCCTTCCACTTCCATCCTCTCCGCCAGCTCATCTATCTTTCTCCTAATCTCCTTACTCAGCGGGTGGGCCCTGTCATTAACTGAAAACACGTGCACCTCGCGATCCACCTCAACCCAGCTGCAGGCCGGCACCTTGCGGACCCCACGCTCACGCATGGCCTTTTTGACCTTCGCCACGTCATCCCACTCCCCGGCCTCCGCGTAAATATTCGACATCGTGACGTAGGCTGCGGCGTCCCTGAGCCCGTCGAGCTTGAAAAGCTCGCCGGCCGCCCTTTTCGCAAACTCCCGATTCTTGTGGATCCTGCACGAGTTCAAAACTGAGGACCACATGATCTCGTCTGGCTCGAACGGCATCCGTTCCATCCATTCCTCGGCCTCTGCAAATCTGCCACGCCGGCAGAGCACGTCGACCAACGACGCGTAGTGCTCTCTTCGTGGGACGAGCCCATGAGTCCGAGTCATCGTGTCGAAATACCTGAGGGCCTCGTCCACTCGTCCGTTATGACTGCAAGCGGTTAACACTGAGAGGAAGCTGACGTGGTCGGGCCTGAAGCCCGAACTCGCCATATCCTCGAACGAGCGAAAAGTGGCCTCGGCGTCCCCGTCCTTGGCGTACGCCGAGATCATCGCGTTCCAAGAGATGCTGTTTCTCTCGGGCATGCTTACGAAAATCGCGGACGAGTCCTTCAACGATCCGCATTTCGCGTACATGTCCAAGAGGGCGCTAGCGCAATAGACGTTGGACTCGAATCCAGCAGTTATCAGACGTGCGTGCAGTTGCTTCCCCAACGAAATCAAGGCCAAGCTTGCTGAGGCGTTCAATATGCTCGCAAAAGTCGATTGGTCAGCATGGATGTCGGCTCTGCGCATCTCATTGAACAAGTCGAGGGCCTCGGCATTGAGGCCACGGTGGATGTAGGCCGATATCATGACCGTCCAAGGGATAGTGTCCATGCATGCCAAACTCGTGAATAAATACTTGGCCTGCTCAAACTTTCCGCATCTGCCGTACATGTCGACTAACGCGTTCGCCACTTGGGTTTCCGAATCTGCATTCGTCACGAGAGCCTGCGCGTGTAACTGCCTTCCCATCTTGATATCCTGCATGTTTGCAGCTACACTCAGCATGGTCGAAAAGGGAAAGTCCCTCCGGCTAAAATTGGTCAGCCGCAATCGTTTGAATAGACAGAGTGATTCCTCGAGCCGCACGTTTTTAGCGTAACTCGTTATAAGAATGTTGTACGAGACGCCATCCAACACTGGCATCTGGTCGAACAATGTTCTCATATCCTCGACGAAATCATGCTTGGAGTAAAAATCAAGAAGCGCGTTGCAAATAAAAACGTCCTGGACGAAATTGGCCTTGATGACGAGCCCGTGGATCAGCAACCCGAGGGCGGTGTCATTCACATCGGCGCAGGCCCGTAAAAGTGCGGCAAATGTGAAATTAGTGGGCCTAAATCCGTAATCCTGCATCCCCACGAAGAATCTTACTGCCTCGCCAATCGCACCTTCTCTCGAGCAGCCTGTGATAATCGTGTTGAAAGTGATGGTGTCTCTCAGGCCCATCTCCATAAAGAAGTCAAAAGCCGAATCGAGACTCCGGGACTTGCAGTAGGAATCGAGCAAGCTGTTGCAGAGTGACAGGTCAGCTCTGAACCCGAACTTTGCGACCTGGGCATGGACTTGGCTGACGTCCCTTTTCGTAATCGTCTCATCACAGCCCGACAAGACGGTTGTAAACGTGACAGAATCAGGCCTGACGTCTGTCCTGAGCATTTCGACAAAAAGGTTAAAAGCCTCTCTGGGCTGATTGTTCTGTGCGTACCCACCGATTAGTGTTGTCCAAGTAATCGCAGTCCGGTAAGACATGCTGTTAAAAAGCTCCCTGGCATGAAAGAGTTCGCCTAACTTGAGGTGGCAGGAAATCATCATGTTAAATGACAACGTGTTTCTTTGGGGCATCCAGTCGAACAGTTGGCGTGCCTCAGAAATTTGGTTCCTTTTAAGTAAATCTTGGAGCTGGTTATTGTGGCGGCTCGTCTGTAGGTTAAATGCTGTTTTGATGGCATGGGCGTCTATGGCATTCGTGCCATATTTTCTGAAATTTTCTAACCGATATCACTTTTTCCTCTCTTACTCAAGCAATCAACTAATAGAAGAATATCAAGAGAATAATGGGAAAAATAACGGGAATAATAATAATAATAATAAAGAATTATAAGATACCTATGTGTAGAATACAATCTCTTTACAACCACCACAGTTCTATTCCATTGGTTCACAGCCTTTGAATTGTTCATGTGGCTAAATTGTCGACCTGGGGATGGGAAGAGTAACGGGTACTTCATAGATGCTCCAAGAACTGACAAATTTTGGAAGAGTAAACACTGGGGCCTTTATATTAATTACCTTTGGGGAAACTAAGCATTTGTTCGACACTGAAAGTGTCTTGTGGAGGATGGAGGATTCATTACTGCTGAAACAGAATGATATCCAATAAGAAAGTGGCACAATTTAATAGCTCGATTGGGGGATTGAATCAGCAAATTACCTGCCAAGGTTCTTTCCGGAGTGGAGTTGCCACTGCCATTTGGTTTCTTCCGGGGCGGATGTGCCGCGCCGCTAGGTGGTTTGAGGTTTCTTCCACCCTAAATCAGACGACATCGTCCACTCTCTTCAGATGTTCAGCGGAGGGGGACCCGGCGGCCGAGCGGGACCTGGCGACCAATCGTCGCCCTTCTATTCTAGAAACTCTTTAAAATTGAGATATGAGGAGAGATGAAAAAACAATTATGTGAAACAATTAATTTATGGACTTTAGAATACCCAAAAACGGATAGAAAGAGATATTAATGGAATAATGAATGGTGAAAATAAGTGAAACATATTTTTAAAAGGTCGTCCTTTATTAGGAGGATCCTTGTTGGGCCGAGTATGGGCCTAGACTGCCCATTTTAACAAAACTCTTGACCCACATATAATAATTAATTTTTTATTTTAATTATCAATAAGTTTTTTATTTTAATTATCTAACATTCATCTCTACCTGAATCAACTCTTTTTTATAAATTCTAATTTTTTGACATAATTTCAGCACAATTTCCTATACAATAATTTTGGGCTTGCCCCAATAATTTCAGTTACACACATTTTCAATCCATAAACAACAACAACAACAATATGAAAAAAATAATAATAATAATTACAATCAATTAGTTGGTCTCGATTTCTCACCATCATAAAAATTATATTGTCGTAACTAACTTATGCAATCTATATTTATACTGTTCACCTTTACAAATTGTACAAAATTTTAAATGTAAAATACTCATTATTTAACTAATATCTTTGAACATTATATACATATATAATATATATCATATTTTATTTGTATTTGAAAATGTATACAAAATCAACTGTAATAGTTTTGAATGAAAAGGCTAATTAGTAATTTCGCTCCATTGTGACTCCATCAAAATATTAAAGTAATTATGACATGGGAAACATTGCATATAAGTAGACCATGGTCAGCTTTTGAGATGGCCCGTCGAGGCACTAACATATTTTTTTATTGTATTTTTTATATTAAATGAATTAAAATAAATTTTTGAAATCAATTATCCAAGGCTAATTATTACTTGATTGTGAGGAAGACTAATATGTCAAAAATTGAGACTTATAGAGTGCATGCCCAAGAAAAAATAAAAGGGAAATGATTACACTTAATTTCGTTCAAAATTCATATTACTTGCTTTTAATAATCAAGGATTCAAGGGTTAGTATTCATAAGCTCATTAGACAAACTCGAGGTCGATATATAGCAAGTCAGCTATATATCGATTTGTTGTACTCCTCAAATCACATTCACAATTTGGCTACAAGGAAAGGAAACTCATTGATTAAAATATTATTTTGTCAGTAGTCTTAATGTACAAGAGACTTTAAGACTCCACTTGAATATTATACCATTTTCTTGCGATTTATAAACTTTTATTGAATATTGCATCTTATAATATAATATTCTCCAAATAAATATATCTCGTGCTTCGTACGGGTCACGTACTATATATATCTCGTACATTTTTCTTTATTCATTGGATAAAATAGCCTTAAAATTGTGCATTCTGTGCATCGCACGGACTCTGTACTAGTTTGACAAAACCCCTAGCAAGGCAGCAAATTAATATGTATAACCTCTTGTAGATTACGTGTTAACAGTGGCCTAAAGTTTATACCCACATAGTTATTTCATAAGATTGCATAATTTTATTAGAAAACAGCATATTTTAATTGAAAATATACATTTTTATGACAAGCTGAGCAGCCTACTTTAGGTTAGTCTTAGAAAAGAATGTTCCTACAATCTCCAACTTTATATCTATTATCATGTGAAATAAATAAATAAATAAACACATGTACCAAAAAAAAAAAGAAATAAATAAATAAATAAACACACAATATTGCATTTCTGACTTTGGGATTCATTCAATATATTTTTTGACTTTGTCCTTGAAAAATCTGCATCAGCTTATACTAGATTGATCCCAGTAATCTGCTTTCATCCAAAAATTTAGTGGCAATCCTTTTTCTTGGTCTATTATCACGTACGATATTTTGATGGTGACTTTCATAATATTTTGCTCATGCCTTGTTTTTGGTTCACATTAATTCGGGTTATTAATCAAAAGTAATAATAATGCACAATACAGTCAGGGTGAAAATTGGATATCAAATCAAATTATATAGAAAAATGAAATTTGAAACATGATGCTGTGAGTTGAATTTAAACGGCAAACTCGATGATTTTCTGGAATGTGCAGTATTTTTTAATTTTATTTTTCTTCTGTCTGTACATTTTTCCAATTAATGGGTTGGCAATTTCACACGCCTATTACCGTATCTACTTATAATCATGTTCGGATCCTAATTCGATCCTTCAAAATTATGATAACCATGACTAAAACGAGCTTAGAAGATTCGATCCTTATTACGTTTATTTTATTTTATTTTATTATCATTTTTTTTTTGGTCCCGTATATAGGATTGCTTGGATTGCCTAATTAAATCCCATGGATGCTCTACTAGTCAGTACCCGTGCAATGCACGAGAACAATATTAAATTAACAATATTATAAATAGATCTCGAGTTTGAGTCACTGACGGAAGTGAAAACTACTATTGTTCCTATTTAAAAAGAGGAAGAAAAAAATAATAATTATAAATTAAAGAGGAAGATAAACAATACTTAATAATAATAAATTAAATATTCGGGATCAAACAATGTAAAACTATTTTGTATAAGAAAATATGAAATTTACATTATATTGTATAAGAGAATATAAAATTTGTATGTTTAATATTAAAAACACCTAAAATATTATATTAGTATATATGTAAAAGTATTCAAAATTTTCTATATTATTTTTGAAAGATGTGAAGTCACCTACAACTTTTCTAAACAATTTTAGAAGGAAAACATATCTAAGAAATTTGAATTTAACATTGTGTAAAAGAGATTTTTCTAGACTATTTTGTAAGGAAAAAATATCTACAAATATTTAAATTTAATATGTGTATATGTACATATATTTATATGCGTATCTTCTGTATAGTTTTTTAGAGATAATAATTCAACACGTATATTTGTTTTAGGAAATGAATAACAATCTTAATATCAGTTTTGAATATTGATAAGGTGTATGAAATATCTTCTCCTTATAATAATACGGATTTTGTTTTTGAATCTTAAAATTATTCCAAATATTTTCTTCTTGTAATACGATTTTTTTTTCTTCAATTTATCGTTAAAAAATATGTTTAAAGGGCGTGTGAAATGGGATTATTTCGTTACCATAAAAAATTAATAGTATGTGATAAGGATGCTCCTGTGAAATGGGATTATCTCGTTACCATAAAAAATTATGCGATAAGGACGCTACTATGCGCTATTAATGAGGCGTGTGAATTGGGGTTATTTCATGAGAATTAAATCGGTATAATTAATGAGTTTAAAAGGCGTGTGAAAAAGACATAAATGCTGCGTGTGAAATGGACATAAGAGTTACCGATTTTGGAAAGTAATAAATGCAAAACTGATTTTGACCATTAATTAAGTTACTAATTTTGATAAATGTTAATTCTTATTATATAAGTATAGATTATATAAGCCCTAATTGTGTCACCTATCCGATACATATACATCTATACTTATATAATAAGAATTAACATTTATCCAAAATAGTAGGTCAAATTATGGTCAATGTTGGATTTGCATTAAATATTTTCCAAAACCGGTAAGTTTTTGTCCTTTTCACACTTCTCATTAATTATGTCCTTTTCACACTTCTCATTAATTATGTCTTTTTCACACATCTAATTAGTTCATTAATTACAACATAATTATCATAAATCATTCCATCTGAGCTTTTATCGTTAAAATGTATAGCGGTCTGTTATGACCTTATCCCGTTGATATTTTCCATCTGAGCTTTTATCGTTAAAATGTATAGCGGTCTGTTATGACCTTATCCCATTGATATTTTCCATCTGAGCTTTTATCGTTAAAATGTATAGCGGTCTGTTATGACCTTATCCTATTGATATTTTCATGAAGCGTCCTTATCGCGTTCTATTTTTTGGTAACCACTCTATATCAATAACCAGATATTTGGTTAATGATAGCATACGTCTTTATTTCAAGGAGCGGATATTCTTTGACCTTTAATTAATCTGAACTGATTGCCTTGACTTTTCAATTTTTAAAAACTCTTTTTTTAAATATTTCGGCTTAAGATTCTGATTTCATTATACAAGTCATCGGATTGTTTGAATGAAAATGAATGAAAAGAACACTGAATAGGTAGCCTTATTCATATAACCAATCCTAAAATATTAGTTTGTTCAGCAAAAAGAGATAAATCCTAAAAATCCTAAAATATTAGTTTGTTCACCAATCCTAAAATATTAGTTTGTTCACAAAAAATATTAGTTTGATTTTTAGGATTTGTCTCTTTTGAAAATATTAGTTTGTAATAATGAGGAGTTACCAAATAATCAAACTCATAATGTTGTGTACAAAGAGGTTTTTAATAATATATGATTGTTACAAACTTTTTATGATTCAACAATGTTCTTATGTATTTTAATGATTTCAATTTCGATCCTAATGCACGTGAGGTTATATTATTCTCCCAAATTTTACATCCCGTGCATCGCACGGGTTACGTACTAGTATATTTAGAAGTAAATTGTATTTTTCAAGCTGTAAAATAAGCATTTCAAAAAAATTACAACTTATAGTATTTATTTATTTGTTTGGTCAAATAGAATATGAATAATTGTAACTTACAACTTCGAGTACATTTTGCCCATACATACATGTATTGTTTTAAATAACTCTATGATCAAGGTACACTTAAAAATATTGTGCATTATAAATTGATACTCTTGAATTGCATTACACAAAAATAATACTATAAAGTATAAACAGTAAAGTCCAAGTATGTTACATAATTACAAGAATAATTATTATTAACGACACTAATTTTAGTGACGACATTAATGTCATGACTATAAAATGGTTATTGTGACGACATTCGAACATATAGCGACATTATTAGCGACGGTATTTTTTGTGACGACATTTGAACACATAGCGACAAAAATTTTCGCCACTAAAAATGATAATTCTTGTAGTAATATATTTTAGAGTGAATTAAATGGTGCAATGATGAGGAAAGGACCTAGTTCCCTATAAAACAAAAAATTCGTTCTTGCCCTCAGGAACAGTGCAATTGTGATTCTTAGCCCTTCGAAACTTGCTCTGAAGATGGGATAAACGTTCTTCTTTTTTTTTTTTTTGAATTAAGCCGGTCTGTAATTACATCTGGGCCGATTTTGGGTACGTGTTTTTAGGCCTGGTGACCCGCCGAACCGTATCGGGCCGGGTATGGTATGTGCAAATCAATGACTAAAACTTCATTCTAAAACATCTTAACTAATTATATTTATTTACTTTTGTTTATTTAAAATATGTNGCACATAATAAAGGAAGCAAACATACACAACCGCCAAACACAACCTCTTCAAGTAGCTTTCTTGCTTTTAAGACCACCTTCTCAAAAAGTAACCTATTTTTCCTCTCTCTCTCTCTCTCTCACAAGAACACTCACAACACCTTTATCTCTTTTCTCTCTCTTCATTTATCTCTTTCTCTCTCCATTTTTTTTTCTCTTCCTCTTGGTGCTATGGATACTGCTCAGTGGCCACAGGTAAAGCTGAAAAACATGCTTTTTGATCTATCTTTCTCCATGATATCATGACAACATCTTTTTTCCTTTTTCTCTTTTGCTTTTTATTTTTCCTAGGGCTAATTTAGCTTGGGAAAGAGAAAAAAGATAAAAAGAATAAAAATTCCTTGGTCTCTCTCTTTTGCTTTACTTTGCTTTGCTTTGCTTTAATTTTGTTGGATGACCATTTCTAAAGGTGATGATGTTAGCTTTATACCATATACCCAGCAGATTAGAGTTGATTCAATCAATTCAAAATCTCACTTTTTTTTTTTTTCTTCTTTACCTTTCTTGCATGCTTTCATTANTTTTTTTTTTTGTTCCCTTTCTATCATCTATATAAAAAACCAATCTATTCTCTCTCAAAATTCTCTTGTCCAAAAAGAATCTCCAATTTCTCAAAATATATATTTTTTTTAATTTCCTCCTTAAAGAAATAAACATTTTTCTTGTCAGGATAATATTACAAGACCAGCAGCTGAGAAAAAGCCAAGGCCCGAAAAGGAGCAAGCTATCAACTGTCCGAGATGCAGCTCAACAAACACAAAATTCTGTTATTACAACAATTACAGCCTTTCTCAGCCGAGGTATTTTTGCAAGACCTGCAGAAGGTACTGGACACAAGGCGGCTCACTGAGGAATGTTCCGGTGGGCGGCGGCTCACGGAAGAACAAAAGGTCTTATAACTCTTCATCATCATCGCCATTGGCCAAGAAAGCGGCCTCGATTGGGCTTGGGCCCGAAAGTCTCGGCCCAGAAAATTTCTCCGCTCCAAACCCTAATAAGTTTTTCGGCCATGAGGGCCAGGATCTGAACCTGGCCTATAATCCGGCCCAATACGGCGTCGGGTTGTCAGAGTTTGTCGGTTATGATGTTCGGCCTGAAAACCCTAATTTTACTTCTTCGGCGCCGGTCATGGAGCTTTTGAAGGCGGGGAATTATGTGGGCCAGAGCCCGGTTTACGGATCAGCTGGTGGGCTTGTTTCGGGTGATGGGCTTGAGATTGGTGGGCTTTTGGGCCATGTGAATGGAACAACGTCATCATCGTCATCAAGGAATTTTGGCCTTTTTACTTTTGGTGATGATCATCATGAGAGGCAAGGGGATGAGCAATTTGAGGATGGTAAAGGTGAAGCAAATGGGTTTTGGAGTGGGATGCTAGCTGGAGGCACATCATCATGGTGAAAAAGGAAAAATTATGGGGGATTAAAAAATAAGAAATTAATTATTAGTAAATAATGACGATCATGATTTTCAAGAGAATTAAAGCTCTTGTGGAGATTATTTTGTGTGTTTTATGTCTTTCTTTTTTTGGGTTTTTTTGGTGTTGATTTGGTTTAATTATCTTACATGGTGAGGGATTTGTGTGTGCTTTGATGATTTGTTTTGTTTTGTATTTCTTTTTCATGGCATGGTGTGATCAGATCAGAACTAACAGATAGGTTGTTTGCACGTGTTGTTTATTTTATTTTTACTGATTTGTTTTCTTTTTCATCACACTTCTTGGTATTGGGTTTCTTTGTGTTGTTTTTGCAGGATTTTGCTTGCTTTCATGTCTTCTCAAATAAAAATGTCTGTTTTTTTTTTCTTGTGAAATTATTAATATATTTTCTTTCATATTATTGGCTTAGATTATGATAAAAGTTGAAAATGAAGTAGTGTTTTTTTTCTAGCAAGATTGAAACTTGTTCTTATGTGTAGCATATATTGTTTTTTCTACATGGTTCTTGACAAAAGATTTTGATTTATTATTATGAGATATTTTGTTTGGAATTGGTTCCATTTAGTTCCAATTTCAGTCTGGAGAAGGAAAATAAAAAAATCTGAGAATTATTCTGTAGTTCAAATATCCCATGTGAAAATTACAATTAAATATATGCTTTGTGTCATATTTTGTTCCATTTTCTTCTGTTCAATCAAGAATTTTTTATATGTAGTACTCCAAGACAGATTTTGCTGTACTTATTCTTATATGACTCATTTTGTATTGCCTATTTGCCTTCAATATGGATTTATTTTTATGTGGAGTTTAATTAATAGAATTAGGTAGATGATGATTTAGTGGGATTGATGATTCATAGCACCAAGATACATGAGTATAATTTTATGCATTAGTTTATTTTTGTGTTCCCAAAGTAAGATGCAGTAATTGCTGGATTTCAATCTTTGGACTAATTTCTACTTTGTTATTAGTATTTTTATTCCTTTTTGCTTCAATTTTTTGTTTTTATTTTTGGGGCTGACACTAGAAGATTGTCAGGTGTTACCAGAGTGAAACATCAAAAGTGAGTGTGTTAAGATTCTCTCTTCTGTTAAAAGCATACTGATGAGTAAATTAAAGCAGGATTTGGGGTCAGATTTTTTAGATATACATAGAATTATAGATATAAATAACAAAGTGTTGTCCCATGATTCATAACTTCACAGCACATGGGTAGAACTACTGTATTATCCACTAGTAACCATTGTAAGTAAAGTGGTTTTTTTTTTAACAAACTATAATAGGAAAAAAGGAAAGTTGTTCATTGTGTTATGCTAATGCCATAGAGATGAATTACATTAGTCCTAAAGTCCTTTTTTAATATAAAAAAAATGTTATGCATTAAACATTACGCGTGAACGGTATAATTATATGCACTAGTCAACATGTAATCAGAAAAAATAATGACTATTAATTGCACTTAGAGTTGTAAACAAAATGAAAGACCCTTGAGTTCGACTCAATATCAAATGACCCAAACTTGAGTTAATTTACAGCTCGTTTAATCAATCAGTCGAGTTCAGTCACATTCATGAATCCATTTAAAGCTTGTTTAGTTAATGAACTTGCTCGTTTTATTTAACTACTTATTAAGGATGAAAACTAATGTTATCTGTAATTTTTTTTTTTTTATGATTATGCTCGCTAAAATTGATTGACTAGTCGAACTTGTTTAGTTAACTAGTCATGTTTTTATAAAAGCTCTATTATCAAGAGCTCGAATAAAGCTCGTTCGCTTACACCTAACAAAGCTCGGTTCCTTTACACCTAATCGAACTGCATGTTCACATGTATTATATGGTGTCTAACAATCTTTTGGCTTTAATATTAATTCTTTCGGAGTTGTTTAGTGGAAACAAAGGTCAAATCCTGTTTCTTTTGAGCAAAACTAATTTCACTATATATGCATCCTACTTAAAGAACATAATGAGACATTAGAGATGAATCTACTCATCAACATACAAAAGTATTACTGCACAAATCTCGTGTAACTAAAATTAATTTCAAATTACACAAAAGCGCATCAAAATCAAAGAGAATGTATTTACACAATCCAAAGTAGACAAAAAATGAAATGAGCCAATTTTTTTGAATAAAATAAGGTGCCAAAATCCTCCCATGGAGAGAAAATCACCTGGTCATTGAACAGTTCTTACATCCAAAATTTGCATATATAGTCCATGACGTCATAAACTCATTAATTTGACATATAACAATTACACTATTTAGGTTAGAATATTTTGGATTGGACTACTCCATGACTTAAAGTTGTGGAAGGGGCCCATACTCACCATCCTTTTAAAAAAATATACGTGAAAATTATATAAATTTAATGTCCCTTCAACTATATTTACTGCATGTCAGCATGTGACAATTGTGTTGTGGTCAACAAGCGCATGATTATAATTTTAAGTTTTTAACCTCCAAAATGTTGTCCATATTTAGAAATTCAACGTAGTGACTAATGACTATTCGTATCATAGCTAAAATTCAATAGTGGCGGTGTATATATAAATAGATTAACCAAGACATCAAAATATGATTTAGCTATTTCTAATATATGCACTGATTATGTTATAGCATGTCATAAAATTAATAGATGTACGTAGCTTAGGCGCAATGGTACAAGAAATGAGCGTAAGATCGGTTTGATTCAACCCACTAAAGCTTGGGCACGTTAAAGCTCATTTAATTAGCTAGCTTAATTTAGAGTATTAATAAAGGCTAGTTAAGACTATAATTCGGCTCGATAAGGATTAATGAGTCAATTCAAACTCGTTTTTGTTAACGAGTTAGCTCAAGAGGCTCAATAAAGGCTATCAGACAGTACAATATTTATGATCACGAAAATAATATATAATGTATAACTTAATTACAAGTTTAGAACTTCATGTGGTTTGTATATTGTATTGTACGGCTGTTGCCTAGTATTAGCATAAACAATTTTTTTTAATTTTTTTTTAGGAAGCTTGTCCTCAGTCCTAAACTACAAACTCTTACAAATAGAAAAAAGTTACCGACTTAATTTTTTCTCCATTACTTCGTTTTCAAAAGCAACCTAAAGCCACTATCCACTTTACACATTATTCATAGAATTTAATCATATAATTTATTCACATATTTCTAATTATTATCACATCAATATGTCATTTGGATTATTAATTTTCATAACCCACTATTTCTCTACAATTTTTTTTTTTCCATCATCATAATCTAACCGCACTAGGGGTGTTCACGGTTCGGTTTTAACCGGAAAAAACCGTCAATTCGGATCGCGGATCGGTTAAATGGTCAGTTAAAAAAACCTTAAAAAATCCGGTGGTTAATTTTTTTAAAAATCCGGAATAACCGGTCCTTTTAACGGATTACCTGCGGCAAACCACCGGTTTAACCGGACCGGACCGGTAAATATTAAAAAACTATAACAAATATATATATACATTCAGTCATTCACTATGGCCGACAAATACAATACATTCACTATGAATGCTTTGCTCTTATTATTTCAGGTGTATAAACTGACTGAAAAATCAGTGTTTGCTTGAGTTCAGTTTGCATAATTAATCTTCATCATTTTTGTATTCTTATGTTTATGGGGGGAAATGTGCATTTTTTTATGCTTATGAGACGAATTGTGTACTTTTTATTTCATTATTGTTGTTTTTCTTAATTTTTAAGCCCAAATAATCTCTTTAGGACCCAAAATTGAAAAAAAAAAATTAAGCCCAAAATTAAAAAAATAAAAATTGAAGGCCCAAAACAAGTTTTGGATTTAACCGGTTAACCGTCAAATCGGACCGTCCAATGCGGTTCGGATTGTGGTCGGTTAAAAAAAAAAACCGGTCCGATTATAGACAAGAAAAAAAATTAACCGTTAGATTCGGTTTGGTCATGGTTTGGGCTAAAACCGGACCAATCCGGACCGTGAACACCCCTAAACCGCACTATGATTAAGTAAAAAAATATATTCGCATTTAAATATTGACCCGACAACATGCTAACACGTGGCGAAATACTTGACCCGAGGGGAAAACACAGTGCTCCACGAAACTGTTTTTGGTAGGGCCCAGAGACATTCTCCTTACCGGCAGGCGTGCTCTTGAGGATTATCCTCCATACACTCACCCATCAGACCCAATGGGCCCACCACCATTACTTCTATTTTCGCACTAATTCTTTCTGCTCATTTTCCGAAATTTTTTTACTCCCTTATTTTAATTTTTAGTTTATATTTTTTTTCCTAGGTTATATTATTTTAATTTTTAGCTGAAGGGTTGGCAATAATGTGGTGGGACCGTTAGGAGATTTGCACATATATATTGCTCTAGCTAATGGCCTTATTAGCATACAGCGGATAGTATCATTGAATATCAGACAACGGATTATATTAGTTGATTTGACCAACGAATTTCATTAGCAGTTTTTAAATAAGTGTTTGATAAATAACTGAAAACTTAAAGTTGTTTGACATTGCAAAATGACCAATAAAGATATTTTATTATTTAGGATGTATTCTTTTAATAATATATTAAAACATTTAATATTTTTCAGTTGATAATTTATAAATATATTATTTTTTTTAAATTTACTAACAGTTGATGAAGAAGTTATGAATTTTACATTTTTCTAGATAAATTAATCATATAGATGACATATTATTATTTATTAGCACCATAAACCAATGTAGATTGTAAAATACATAAGACAAATTAGAGTTTTATTTTTTTGTGAATTCTCTATTCCTAAAACACTGCTCTAATGAACTTTTTCTAAATTAGAGTTTTGAGCCCAAAAAGCTTATCAAATAATCTATTTACCAAACAAGCTCAACAGCGAATTTGACGGGTCAAACCTCTCAATTAAGTCCAATCTGTTAATTTATCTATCCGCTATCTACCAAATGGAAATTTGAGCTACATGCAGAATTAAGTTAATCCTATGAAAAATGATTCGTGTTTTGTAATTCTATGTATTAACTTCTAATTGTCAATTTTTTTTATTGTTAGAAACAATATCTGAATTCTGTTTATATTTAAAACTTTTACTTTTTGTATTTGTTAGTCATGTGTATACAAAAATAAATTATCAGAGTAATTATCTTTTGCATACATAAAATACATAAACAGTAATCTATTGTATTTTATTTAATATAAAATTAAATTATCTATTAATACTATTGAAGTATAATAACATATATATATCAATTAACAAAATTTATCAATAAAAATATTTAAAATTCAAATAGAAAAACTTATTTCTTCCATTTTTTTAAATAGTTTCAATATAATGTTTTTAACTAGCACTCGTGAAATTACCAGTGTTGTACCAGTATATATGTGTGTGATAAATAAAAAAGTGTTAGAATACAAAAATAAATTAGAGATACGTGTGCTATTGATTTGTTGTTCAATGAATAACAAATAAAATAAAACAAATAATAATTAAATAAAACAAAGAAATAATTTAAAAGTAGTAACAAACTCCCCGTCTGTATTTTGGTCCACTAAAAATAGGGACTAATCAATTCAAAGAACTGGGGAATATGTTTTCTCACTATCAACCTGTAATCCACGCGCCGCCGCCTCCACCACCTGCGCCACTATCATCTCCCCAATTTCGCCTTTCATTCCCGAAGCTCAACAGCCAACACTCCCCGCGAGCACCACTAACAGAAAAACAGCAATCAGACCCATCACCTTCTCAAACTCGAACCATTTTCCCCTTTCTCCGCGGCGGATTAAATTCCGGCGACTATGCTTTAGCACTCGATTCATGCAACTGCCTCGAGCTCGGAAAACAGGTCCACGCTCACCTCCTCAAGAACGGGTTTCACGGCCGCGAGTTTGTACAGACCAAGCTACTCAAATTCTATGGGAAATTGGGCTGTGTTGAAGATTTACTCAAGGTGTTCGACAAAATGCCCGATAGAAACTTATACTCTTACACAGCCATAATGAACATTCTTTTGGACAACGGGCTTTACGAGAAAGCCCTCACGTGTTTCGAGAGATTGCAATTCGAGGATATCGTGTTGGAGTTTTTCGTTTTTCCAGTGGCTTTAAAGATTTGCAGTTCACACGGTGGAGTCGAGTTAGGGAGACAGCTTCACGGATTGACGACAAAAATTGGAGTCTTGCAGCATAATTATGTCGGGAACGCTTTAATTGATATGTACGGGAAATGTGGGAGCTTGAGCAATGCCGAGAGTATTTTTGTTAAAATGCCGATCAGGGATTGTGTTTCTTGGAACTCGATGGTTACGGCTTGTGCAGCTAATGGGAGGGTTTTCGAAGCATTGAGTTTTTTGGAGCAGATGTTAGGGGAAAATGATTTGAGACCGAACGTAGTTACGTGGAGTGCTTTGATTGGTGGGTTTGCGCAGAATGGTCATGATGAGGAGGCCATTGGGATGGTGTATGAAATGAGAGACGCGAGTTTCGAGCCGAATGCACGGATATTGGCGAGTGTTCTTCCCGCATGTGCTAGATTGAGGAAATTGAGGTTAGGAAAGGAAATGTATGGATATATTGCACGACACGGGTTTATGTCGAGCCCTTATATCGTCAATGGATTGATCGATCTCTACCGGAGGAGTGGAGCTATGGAGAGCGCTTACAAGGTTTTCTCTAGATTTTCAGTGAGGGACGAGGTGTCTTTCAATACCATGATTGCGGGGTATTGTGAAAATGGGGAGATTTTGAAGGCAAAAGAGCTTTTTCGGTGGATGGAAAATGAGGGGAAGTTGAAGGACTTGATTTCTTGGAACTCGATGATCTCGGGCTATGTAGATAATCTCATGTTCGACGAGGCTTTGAGATTGTTTATGGATTTAATAGGAAGTGGAGAAATCGAACCCGATTCGTTTACCTTGGGCAGCGTTCTTAAAGCTTGTGCGGATATAGGTTTTCACAAGTTCGGAAAAGCTATACATTCATATTGCATAGCCAAAGGCTTTCAATCAAATCCTTTTGTGGGGGGAGCATTGGTGGACATGTATTGCCAGTGCCGAGATCTTGAAGCTGCAAAAAAGGCCTTTTGGCAAGTGAAGGAAAAGGATATAGTGATTTGGAATACCCTCGTTTCTGGTTATGCTACCTGCAACCAAATCGAAAGCATTCAATCTGTTCTTGAGTCGATGAAAGGTGATAGATTTGAACCGAATATATACACATGGAACGGAATAATTGCAGGTTACATGGAGAATGGTCACCATGAGTTGGCTCTAAAGCTGTTTTCGGATCTGCAAACTTCAAGTTTGAAACCTGATATATACACAGTTGGAATAGTTATACCTGCCTGCTCGAGGCTAGCTACTATAGAGCGAGGCAAGCAAATTCATGCATATGCAGTGAGGTGTGGATTCGAACAGGACGTGTACATAAGAGCTGCGTTGATAGATATGTATGTGAAATGTGGGTTCATGAAGTATGCCAAACTTATCCATGATAGGACCAAAAACCATAATCTTGTCACCCATAATGCCATGCTAAATGCGTATGCCATGCACGGGCATGGAGATGATGTAATTGCTTTCTTTCGTAAAATGCTGTTAAACGGGTTTACACCAGATAAAGTGACTTTTCTTGCAGTTTTGTCTTCATGTGTTCATGCGGGCTCAGTCGAGACTGGACTAGAGTTTTTCGATTTGATGGGATCTTATGGGATAAAACCGACATTGAAACACTATACATGTATGGTTGACTTACTGAGTCGAGCAGGAAAACTCAAGCATGCACACGAGATGGTCGAGAAAATGCCTATGAGACCTGATGCAGTGGTTTGGGGTGCACTGCTTGGTGGCTGTATTATCTATGGGGATGTTGATATGGGAGAAATAGCTGCAAATAAGCTCATTGAAATAGAACCGGATAACTCTGGGAACTATGTGATGCTGACAAATTTATATGCATCTACGGGTAGATGGCATGAATTAAGAAAAATAAGGCAACGAATGAAAGACGAACAACTGCTTAAAAGTCCAGGCTGCAGTTGGATTGAGGATAAAGATGAAACACATGTGTTTATGGCATGGGACAAATCTCACAAGAGGGCAAAAGAGATTTACGACATATTGGATAACTTAACAGCACAAATGAGATCGGAACAGGTTCAACTGTTGTAAACTTCTACCAACAAAAAGACACAAGTGCACATAAGATATGTATATGTTGATGCCAAAAGCTCTGTTTTGTAATAGCTTTAGTAAAGATCAATTGACTCGAGTACTCTTCGAGCTTGAATATGCAAAGCAGTTAATCTTTGCTCGGGATCCAGGGTTGATCCAAATTGACTTGCTGCCCATATTAAGGAGGCAGATTTTTCACCCAGGAATCGCCTCACATCCTCGTGTATTGTCATCATTGGAGGTTTTTCCCTTCCATTTACATGTCCAATGAGAAGTAACAGAAATTCACCACATTTCAACCTGATTGAATATGGCTGTTAGAAATCTGGAATATGTTGAGAGCAGTGTTACTTATGATTAAATTTTACTTTCAGTACAAAGTTGGCGATACACGCCAAAGTAAACAAACGAACCTTAGATGTTCCTCTGTTTGTTTATCTCTTATAAGAAGAGCAACTTCCTCGATGCCATTGCATGCCTCAAAATCCTGGCAGGTAATTAAGTAGTAGATATCAATAATCAAGCAAACTACAAGTAAACTAGGATGTAGAAATACATATAGTATTCCCTACAACTAATGAAAAAGAGAAATGGATCTTGACCCAGTATTTATTCAAGATGAAAAGGTAGAAATCTAACAAGATTTGAGAAGTCAAGGGAAAACATAGCCTCAGATTGCATATAGAATTGACGAACAATTAGGGCTCAAACTAGTTCTCTCATGTTTACACCTACTGTCAATGATCACTTACAGATAATATTTTTTCAGTAATTTGCTCTGACAAGCTACAACCTACCATTTGATTGGAGGATGAATCCAGCATAATTGCAATTAAAGCATCAAGACATGCACCTTGCTCGAGTACCCCACGGGTTGACAAAATATTCATCAACACCTGCCAAATGTCAATGTAAAAAAAAGCTGAAACCGGCACACGAAATAGCATCCAGAATAAAATGAGTTTCACGTTGACATACTGTAATTGCCTTGTGCTGATGAGCCAAGATTGTGCTCTCCGAATGAAGAAGACAGCACCCTTCAAGAACTCGAAGAGCAAGAGCCACCTCAGCATCTGTGGCCGGGCTAGTTATCTTCATAGGTTCCACAGTGAATATGTGGTTTAGATTAGCCACATGATGTTCTTCTACCTCAATAAGGGAATGTTGAAACAGAACAGGCACAACTGGTCGTACAAAAGGAGCAAATCATATTTCAGATTAAACAAAATGATAGAAACTCTTTTCTAAAAGCTTCCGAGCTCAATCCATCTAACAATTCTAGTTCAACAGCCAAGAAAAACTTCACTCGATTGAGTGAGGGCAACAAACATTGCCAGAAACGAATGTCCCACTCGAATGAGTGTTACCGAGCTAACACTAACATTAACACAACATGTTCTCCAGAAATTGAATCACTTACAAGTAGAACAAAAACTTCCAACTGCATAACCATTTTCACAAAATTGCAGAAAAATCAAATCATACACCAACTCACAATTTAATCGGAAAACATTAAAAAAAACGAACAAACAAAAAAACGGAAGCTCAAGTCTACATTTCCAGAATCGAATTGAAAACAAAAGGAAGCAAAATTCTTAATGGACCGGTTCAAACACACCTTGGAGCTCGGGTATGGATTGTGAGTGGCAAAAGAGATTAATCGTATCATCCGATTCGGCAACTGATCGGAGGAACTTGAGAAGGCTACGAAGTCCGCGAATACGTAGGAACGAGAACTCGGCCCGGGCCTCGCGGAGCCCGGTTCGGAGTGCGAGGGTCACCTCGCGGTACAATCTCTGCCGGTCGAGCGACTTGACCAGCTCGAAAACCGGCGACGGCGGCTCGGATTCCGGCTCCGGGTCGAAGGAGTCACTCCAAAACGGCTTCTTCAGGTACATTCCTTTTTAATTTATTTTTTCTTTTTCGGATAGGGAAGATTTTGACGCCTGAAAATGACCTGCCGATATAGAGAATTGCAACTTTTATTTCGATGGGGCCGCTGGGCATTACGGACGGGAAAGTTGATGTCGCATTATAATGTATGATTTGGTTAACGCTTTCTTTTTAAGATCTAATTTTATCAATCTTAACTCACTTTATTGACTAATAAATTCAAATAAAAAATATTACATCGCACATTTTTGGCATTAATCATTATGTAGATTTTGAAATTTACGTGTTTTATAGAGCAATAAATGAGTCGAGTTCGGGTGTCATGAGTTAGAACTCGTTATATGAACGAGGTGATAAACGAGCTAGTTAAACTGAATTTTAACAAACCGATATATAATAAAAGTTTAAAAATTTACATACAAATTTATATTTATAAATTTTTACAAATATAAATTTGGTAAAATTATAAGCCTCACGAGCCAAGTTTGACTCAATGCTATTCGTTTTCCCAAATTATTAGACGATCGACCTGTTGTACTCTTTTGAAAAAGAAATACGTATTATGGTATCATACGAAAATGTTCCCCTACTCACGGTGGGCACATGTTAATATACCCACCGCTTATGTGGCATGCACACATTGATGATGTTAATATATTAAAAAAAAATACATCACCAATGTGTGCATGACACATAAGCAGTTTGGATATAAAATTTTTTGGGTTTGTTGGATTTTTTGGTTTGGTTTGGTTTGGTTAATTTTAAAAAATATAATATGATTAGTTGTTAGTGAGTATATTAAAATAATATTTAAAATAAAATAATTAAAATTGATTTGATATAAAAGTAAGAGAAAAATGATTTTAAGTGATTGTTAGTTAAAATAATGTGAGTTGATGAATAACGAATTAAAGTTGATGTGGCGTGTATGAATGATTGATTGATATTATTTAATTATATTGATAATATTGATGATAGTAGAGTTGAGTTAAAAAAAGTGGTTGAGTTAAAATGTTGATTTTTTTTTTAGATTTCTTGTATACAAACATACCCGTAGACATCTCTTAGAAAAAATAACTATCTAGTGACAAACAACAGTTCCTTGTCATGAAAAGAACAGGATTGGCATCAAGCATTCAAAATTGTTGAAGAGTTCTATAGCTATTTACAGCCAAGCTATATTAATTATAGCCTAAAATAATTGGACAAGCTTCATATTATTATTAAGATTAACTATTCCTTTTCCTAGAAGTTACCAAATGGCCTGCTGAAAATAGATTAATCTGCAGGGATCAATGAACTGATGTGGAAATTACATAAACTTGAAATTACATATTACAAATGAGACAACAACAGTCTTATGACCCTCCCACCAAATAACCAAGAACTTTTTTTCTTTATTTATTTTTTTTTCCAGACAGACTGAAGAGAATGGACACTTGAAGATTTCACTACACACACATACAACTACCAATTTTCCTTAACAATTTTTGACTTTTCGAATATGAATTTACCCTCCTTATACTTCTGTGAGGCCTCGTAGGCCCGTTCGTATTTCCACCCCAAAACCTCACTGCAATCTCCACAAGATATGTCAGCAACCGTGTGCAGCCCAGTCATGAGATTCCGATTCTCTTTAGGCCCCAAAACAATGTTCATTGCATGGGAGAACAAAAAGGCTCTTCCGTGCCTTCCCTATAATACGGCAAATCAGTGCCATTAACTCGTTTTACTGTTAGTTTGAAGTATTTACCTCGTGACCGGGAAAACAAACAAAACAAAAGAATGAAAAAAAAAAAGTTTTTAATGGTTTCAAAGTGCTTAATTCTTAAGTCTAGAATAATTTAGCTGACAGTAGTACAATGTGTCGACCCCTCCTAACGGTTAGGCTACACTCTTTTCACATCCAATTCAAAATATTCAGTTCATTTCGAATCAAACACTCTTGTAATAGCAAGCAAACAAACAAACAAACAAACAGACTTACAAAAAGAATAGACCTTTTTTTTCATGTTATTTCTTTATTTTCTTTTATAGAAGTATTATTGAGTTTCTCACTAGTCATGTTCGTATTTCCAAAGATTACATGAAGGGCACGTCAACATAATTCTTCTTTATATTGGATATTCCAACTCTGCAATTTATTTCTCTTCAGCAACAAGTTTTATTGTTTGTGTGTGTGTGTGAGGGAAAATATTCACAATTCACAATAGATGGGAAAGTTTTTTTTCACCTGAAACGCCTTAGAGATTATATCATCGTGAAGGCAAACGTGATTCCGGCACTTGTAGCAGCTGTACAAACGAGGGCCAACTAATTCACCCATTGAACAATATTCCCAAGCACAAATACCTCACTGATTATTCCAAAAGCTATAAAAACAAAGATTTGAGAATAATCAATAAGAAGAAATGAAGTTAAGAAACAACAGAAAGAGCTAAAAAATTCCAAAACTTTACTAACACGCATGAACTTCACTACTTCAGGCACACAAGAAGATATCAGACTTTGAACAATATTTCCAAGCGGAAATAACCCATTGATTGCTAAGCCAAAAGAACAAAGATCACTAATAAAACAACAAAAAGGCTAAAAACTAGCAAACCTTTACCAAAACACATAAACTTCAGACTCAAGAAGATACCACAATTTAATTTAAAGCACCTCACTAGATTAATATGCTGAGAGACCTCTTATTCCAGTGAGGGAAAAAAAAATATGAGGAAAAAAGAGTTAAATAATCATGTAGGACCAAATATAGACATTCTTCAGTCTTCACCTTGAAGCAATCAATGATGACCCTAATATCAGCATTCAGTAAGATTGGGCAAAAATGGTCAGACAGTTGGAATTCGGAAAAGGAAATATACAGACTTGATTTTTTATATAGAGGGCCAATTTTTAACAAATTATTTTACTTTTGCACTAAAAAATTGTGTAAAATGCTGCAAAGGATGAAAAGATCGTAGCTCAAAGTACTACTATTTATATATTCTTTTCTTGGTATAAGGTGCAACATATCTAAAATATTATTATATTAAAGAATATATTGAAGGAAAACATACCTTCGCACGTTACCTTGGTGCTGATGGTAGCCATGTTTGAGCTTCTTAAGCGCTGAAAACCAGAAATGGTGATCGAAGGAAGGTAGGTGGAAAATGTGCCTGTGTTTTTTCGTGTTTGATGGTTTTTGTAGCGTGGTTTCTTCACATTGTAGCTGGGCCACACATGGATTTGGAAATTACTGGGCTTTGAGCCTGTTTATGGAAATTACACAAGCATATAAATAATTTATTAGTAAATATTATTGTCATTGTTAAGCTGCAAATTAGTCTGAGTTAAGTCGAGCAATAGCCAAACTCGATTTTTGTACTAATATTAAGCTCCACCCAACCTCGACGAGCCAAGCTTGGTATGACTCACTTAGGCTCAACTCGATTCGATAATATTATATAAATACTTGAATAGATTTAATTAAATGAGAAACGTGCCTGTTTTTAGGTCAATTTTAATTTGATTTATAGACAAATAAGCAATTACACAGACATATACTTGAACGGCTCATCGACTAATTGAGCTTACACAATATACGAAACTGAGCTCGGCTTCAATTCGAGTCGAGCTTTTGTTCAAACGTTCAATAGTCACTTGACTAATTTACAACTCTAGTTGTTTTTCAATCGTCTTAATGAAACGATTACTAATATTTTTAGCCGTTTGGCTCGCCATCATTCAGTCGTCGCAATAAAACAAATATTAATATTTTTTGATAATGTATCGTAATTATTATTTTGAATACTACTTGATACTACATTATTTGAAATATATATAATTCTTCTTCATATAAGCATTATTTTATTTTTAAAATATATCATATTTGTCATACAATTATTTATGATACATTACAAAAACTCCAAAATTTTCCCTAATAAATTTATGTATATTACTATTAGCAAGACGAGAATATGACAAACTTGTTCACCGTTTACGCTTCTAATCCTGTAATCCATAGACCACAGTGACCCGATAGTTAGCAAACGCTAACCACGACTCTCTAAGATCGTTCTCCTTGTGCCGGCAAAAGCAGCTAAACGGAGAAGTTTTCCGATCTCCGAACAACTCTCAAGCCTCGACGGATTCAGATCTCGGCGGGTATACTCTCGTGATATTCCAGCTGCTGTTATGAAAGTTGTATACATATAGAATCACGCCTATAGATACAAATGGAGGCGGCCGTGAAGGAGGTGCTCTTCGAGACGCGCCGTCATGCTTCGAGACCTTACACCTCCAATTATCCTCCCCAGAAACAGGTACTCTTAATCGTATCTCTTTTCGTTATAAACATTTATTTTGCCTATAATTGATGGATGATGCTTCTGATCGGATTTCTGTATAGTTAATCAGTTTAATTTTGTTTTTGTGAAGCTGAGAGGAGGCGGTGGAGGCAGCTTTCTATCTTACCTTCCATTTCGAGGTACATTTGATTAGCTCTGAAATTAGCAATTTATTACTATTTTTATTTTGATTCGATGACTTTGTATGAATGTGTATGACTTATGTCTTGTTCGGTTAATTGGAGATAGGAAAGAGTTTATTGGAGTTGAAGTCGTTTAACTTTAGTAGAAAATGTCAGTTGTTAACTCTCATCATTGTAGCAGATTAATTGAAATGAGACAATTGTTAATCCGGTCAGGTTCGTGATATGGGAATATAATATATGCTGATTGGTTTTTTGCTTAGCAAGAAATGTTATCCAGCTGCAATCATCCAGCGAAATTTTTAGATTTCTATAAAATCTTCAAAGTACACTCAACTTGGGATCTTGGATGTTTGACTTGGATGCTTCAGATTGGTAGCTGAACATAATTGGAATTTATATACGTTTGATGAAATATTTTTGCTATTCCAAAGCCTGACCAAATGTGAACTTTCCACTCATTTACATTTTCTACGTGGTTTCAGATAGAGTAAGTAAGTGACTACTCTCTTTCTGAAGTGATTACTATTTTGAAGTTGAGTTTTCTGGAGGAAAGTTGAATGCTGCAATATCTATCAGCCATATGGACAAGCATCCTGATCTTTTTAACCCTGGATCCTATTAAGCCATTCAGAACAATTTCAGTGGAATGACCCTTATTTTTGAGAAACTGATGTTTCTTTATATAATGTCAATGTTAGCCAGTTTGGATCAAACACTATCTGTTTTCAAATGGACATTCATTAGCTTATGTACTTGATATGTATCTTAAGTTTTTTCCCCATGATTTATTTATTTTTTGTGACCAAAGAATTGACATGCAGGGGTGTTTTATTTTTAATATGTTGATGTATTACATTGTCATTTGAAGGAATTACCCAACTGCGAGACAAGTGGAGTAAATATAGACAACCAAGAAGATCAAGAAGATTGGTATCCCTGTTTGTCTCTGCAATGGGTGATTATGTCGCTGTGGCTTCCGGGAACCAGATAACGATTTTGCCGAAACATAATGATTACAAGGAGCCAGTGGGAATGTTTACGTGTAAGATTTACTAGTGTTTTAAAATTGAATGTGAAGATATGTTATATAAACTGCTACTTGTCTGGGTGGAAATTTTATAGATTCAGAGAATTTTCTGGATTAAGTTGTCTGATTATTCTTTTATCATTGTTCTGGGTCTTCTGGCTGGAAAACGCTGTAAGAAAATTGTGTGATTCTCTGATTGTTGTTGCATTGTCACTATTAGATATTGGTTGGACTTTTATTATTGGTGTACGTCTTATCATGCATAAATCAAGTGTTTGATACCTTTTCATTTGGTGAAATGTTCAATGTCTTTGCTGGTCTTGGCTTATGTAGGTACTCGTGCTAGCACTTTTACCTGCGGAACTTGGTCCGAATCTCATGAGTTACTTGGAGTTGCTGATGACACTGATACAATATATATTATCAAACCAAATGGTGAAGAGATGACTAGAATCACAAAGAGACATCTGAATGTCTCTTCACCTGTTCTCGGTTTGATTGTACAGGATGATGCTTCGAAGAAACAATCTTACTTGTAAGTTTAACTGAAGATTTTCTCACTAGTTAGGGGGTGATTGTTTATCAATTGACCTCCAAAAAAATCAATCAAAACTCAAATTTAACTCAACTTTAACCCAACTGCACTATCTCCAATATTTTCTATATAATTAAATAATATCAACCAATCATTCTTACACATCACATCAACTTTAATTCACTATTCATCCTCACATAATTTTAACTAACCACCACTTCCAATCATTTTTCTCTTACTTTTTACATCATGTCAACTTTAATTATTTTATTTTAAATATTCTTTTAATATATCCACTAACAACTAACCATACCAACTTCGTTCAAAATTAACTATAGTTAAAAAAAAAACCAATTAATTGCTAGATGAATTCATAAACAATCATCCCCTTAATAGTTATGCTGTCATTATTACACAGCAGTATTTTTAACTTTTGATCATCGAGTACACAGCAGTATTTTTAACTTTTGATCATATTTTTTCTAATTTTATTTTGCAGATGTGCCTTCACTGTATTTGTTTCAGACGGGACTTTTCATGATATTGAGATCAGTAAGGATCCAAGCGCCTCTATTTTTTCTACACAAGCACTGAACAGTTCTCAAAGGCTAAGACAGTTTCCCCAGGAAATTTGCTGCTGGGACTACCATACGAAACTTTCTTTACTTGTCATAACTAGTAGTGTTGGTGACGTCTCATCTTCTGGTACCTCTCTCTCTCTCTCTCTCACACACACACACATACACACACACACACACACACAAGCACAAGCCATGGTTGGACTAGTGCTCTTGCAAGCATGCTTATTCAGGAAGTAATGGGGAATCAACTATAGTAACACAAAGTTTTAAGAAAGTAGTTTGCAATTGTACTGTAACCTTTGTCTTATAACATAGAGGTAAGTTGTTTAAGATTGAAACTATTAATGAGAGTAGATTTTCAACTATCAGATGGTTGAGCTCCAGGTTTATGGTATTTAGAAGTGCAAATTTTTACTATTTTTAATCTTAAAAGAATAAAGGTAACGAGGGTTAAAAAGAATAAAGTTAATGAGGGTTATTTTTTCTTTGACTTGGAAGTTACAACTTTGAATTTCCACATTTCAGTACCTTCCGCTCTATTTTTGTGCCTTTTCTTTTAGGACAAGAAACAAGGAACCTAATGTTGATTACTTAATTTCGTATGACTCCTTTTATGCAGGATCTTGTAGTGTTTCCATTTGGCGAAAATCAAACTTAGAAATGGAGCCATTGGCTTCTGTTAAGTTTGAAGGTTCATATTCCACAGCAAAAGAGTATCATGGTCAACTGACATCTCCAAAAGTGCTCTTCTCACTGCACGGCAATTATGTTGCTTCCCTGGATTTTGAAGGGTGCTTAGTCATTTTTCAGTTTGATGAAGAAACATGTTCACTCTCAAAACTCTCTGATGGTAGGAGCTGCACCTCAAAGGCAACAAATGACATATCAAGCAGTGGAGTAGAATATCTACATGACATTGTGGATTTCACTTGGTGGTCTGATGACGTACTCACTGTTGCCAAAAGAAATGGTACCATTGCCATGGTTGATATTTTCAGTTACGCAATTGTATCTGAGGATGACCATGCGTATTCAATCCCCCTTCTAGAAAGAGCGCAACAATCCTCTGGGCTGATTTTTCTTTTAGAAAATATCATATCTGAGGACAGCCATGGATCTTCTGAACGGAAAGGTAGTATTGAGCTTGTCATGAGTGAGAGACCCGAACAGTTTGATTTCTCCAAGGTGGAATGGAGTTTAGTATCATTGGTGAAAAAATCTGTTCTTGAAGTTTATGATAACCTAATCAGTACTAGAAGGTATCAGGCTGCTTTGGACTTTGCTGATCATCATGGGCTTGACAAAGATGAGGTGCTGAAGTCACAGTGGTTATCTTCTGCACAAGGAGTTCATGAGATAAATTCTATATTTCCCACCATCAAGGACCTAGGTTTTGTGCTTTTTGAGTGTGTGGATAAAGTAGGAGCAACAGAAGATGCTGCAAGGGCTTTAATTTCTTTTGGTCTTCGCTTAACGGACTCTTATAGATTTTCTGAGTTGGAAGATAATGAAAATGAGCAAATTTGGAATTTCCGTTTGGCAAGACTTAAGTTACTACAGTTCAGAGATAGGCTGGAGACATTCATTGGCATAAACATGGGCAGGTGATAATTCAAGGCCACCCTTTACCTTATTATTTCATTATTCTTTGATCTTTGTAAACTTTCATAGCTCGCATCCAGGTTAAGTATAAGCTTTCTTATCTAGTCTACTTCAATGCATGTGCGACAAATTTTTTGGGGATATTTTCGTATTCCAGTGGGATTAGTCTTTCTCTTGGAAGTCAGTATTATGATATTCCCAAGAACTTGGGGAGTTTCCTTTTTATCTCCCCCAAATTATAATCTGATCCTGGTCTCTCGGATTGTTCTCTGCAAGATCGTGCCTGAATATACTTCCAACCAGTTTCTCATTCATTAGCTACCATCTCTCTTTTGCATCCTTTTGAATTCAGTGTGTCATGGCTATAATATATCTCCCTTTCAATATGCTTCATTTAGTGTGAAAGATATGTGCATATATATATTAGTTTACAGAATATGTAAAATTAAAGGCACAAACTGTGTTAAGTGGGAATAAACCATTTGCATCTTTATTCCTGTCATGCCATCAAAGAGAAAAATTCACATTAAGGTACAAATTGCATTGTCGCCTCAGAACAGAGCTGAATGAGCATCTGCCAGTTTCTCTACGTGGTACAAAACTCTGATGATTTTCACTGACTTACAGCTTGATGACTTAGCTTTGCAGGTACTCTGTGCAGGAGTATATGAAATTCCGTCAATTGCCCATAGGAAAAGCTGCTTTGGTTCTCGCAGAAAGTGGGAAGATTGGGGCTTTGAACCTTCTATTTAAGCGTCATCCTTATTCTTTGATTCCTTCGATGTTGGAAGTTTTAGCTGCTATACCCGAGACTATACCAGTTCATTCCTATGGACAGCTGCTTCCAGCAATTTCTGCTCCTTCCAGTATTGTTCTCAGGGATGAGGATTGGGTGGAATGTGAAACGGCAGTGATTTTCCTCAAAAATCTCCATGGCGATCATGAGGGCAGTATCCAGTATATGACTGAACCCGTAATGAAGCACATGGCACTTCAATGGCCATCTGTTTCTGAACTTTCTACTTGGTACAAGAAAAGAGCTAGAGAAATTGATACCTTCAGTGGACAGCTGGACAACTGCATGTGCTTGGTTGATTTGGCCATCCGTAAGGGAGTCTCTGAGTTACAGCAATTCCATGATGATATTTTTTACTTGCATCAGCTAATATACTCTGATGAAACTGAAGATGACATCAGCTTTTCTATGAGCCTTGCTAACTGGGAACAACTACCAGATTATGAAAAATTCAAGGTAATGATGGTGGGTGCCAAGGAGGATAATGTAATTACTCGATTACATGAAAAGGCGATTCCATTCATGCAAAGGAGATTTCATGCATTGAATTCCGATGATGCTATTAATGGTTATCCAACACAAGATAAGACTGTTGACTCATTCCTGGTCAGATGGATGAAAGAAGTTGCAACCCAGAGTAAACTGGACATTTGCTCAATAATATTTGAAGAAGGGTGCAGGGATATGGCTAAGAATTATCTTTTCAAAGATGAAGTGGAGCTCATTGACTGTGCTCTTCGTTGTATATACTTTTGCACTGATGTAGATAGCTGGAACACTATGTCTACCATTTTGTCAAAACTTCCACAGTTGCGAGGTAAATTTTCGTATAGGCAGTCTTCCATCTACTATATCATCTTCCATCATGAGTGGGTATAATGTATTTAAGCCTCGAAATCAGCATGTCTTAAAGTGAGTTTTGATAACCGATGATTGAATGGGTAATTAGTGCTGGATTGAACTGAATATGGCTTTCGTTTCACAGACCTTGAAGATGAGGATATAAAGGATAGACTCAAACTTGCAGAGGGCCACATTGAAGCGGGACGACTGTTGGCATATTATCAGGTAAATTCTGTTGTCTGCCTCATCTTCTATTTATGCTACATAGTATATTGGTCCATAACATTTGCTCTCTGTCTCTCCTTGTATATCATAATTGGATACCTGGGATTAATTATTATTTCTGAAGCACTTGGTTCTTCTCATCTACTGGTTATAACAGTGGTAAAGTAGGACGAGGACGAGAGTTATTAAGCGAGTCATTGTTAAGAAATGCACAAAGTATGACAAGCTTTTGCTGTTCTATGTGTTATGTGATGGTAATTGTATTACACAGATAGTCGCTCAGAACCATACCAGTATCAGTATTTCTTTTGGCTGCATAGAAAACAAATGCCGACAGCTTTTCTTTCGTTTCACGGGGATACACATGGACCTTGTAGGCTTAATGCAAACGTATTTAAGGTTGTCTAATAATGTCTAAATGCATCTATCTGCAAATGTCTTGATAAACAGCTCCATGCCAACATTTTTTTAATTGAGAATTGTATTGGCATCAAATATCAAGTTGTGTTTTCCACTCTTTGTTTGTTGAGCTCTGCTTTAGGAATAGAATGTGATTAATGGCTATTGTGATTTGCCTTTATAGATATAGATGTCTGTTGGCAGGAGTACCAGTTTGGTGCTCTGTCATTTTAGGAAACACATCCCTTGATTCACAGAAGTTCTGTGAACATGATTACTTCTGTGTTCAGGTTCCCAAGCCAATAAGTTTCTTCCTGGATGCACGCTCAGATAAAAAGGGTGTCAAACAAATTATTCGTCTTTTACTTTCGAAATTTATTCGCTCGCAACCGGGTCGGTCTGACCATGATTGGGCAAGCCTGTGGCGTGATTTGCAATCCCTTCAAGGGAAGGCATTCACATTTTTGAATTTGGAGTACATGTTGATTGAGTTCTGTAGGGGTTTGCTGACAGCTGGAAAGTTTTCATTAGCAAGGAATTACCTGAAAGGCACCAGTTCTGTTAATTTGGCAACAGATAAGGCTGAAAATCTTGTTATTCAAGCTGCAAGAGAGTATTTTTTCTCAGCACCAACTCTTGCTTGCTCTGAGGTAATTCTTTAATATTGGCTCCATTACTGTTGAATGAGTGCAACAAATAAAGTGTTCATAGATTTTAGTGTAGTGTATATTTATCAGTAATTACCTTCTGTGCACGTGTGGAATAACGTGGTTGCCTGAGATGAAATTTGAGTGTTTGATAAAATTGTGTTTACTATAACATTCACTGTAATCTCATCTCAAATATGCAACCGGTGTTCCCAAGTTTGACTGTTGCAAAATGTTTTGTTTTGACATTATGATTAAAAATTTCTCTTTCTTTTGGTACTTTTAACTAGATCTGGAAGGCTAAGGAATGTCTGAGTATTTTCCCTAGCAGCAGAAACGTCAGGGCAGAGGCTGACATCATTGATGCTGTTACAGTCAGACTTCCAAACCTTGGAGTCAACCTTCTCCCAATGGCATTCCGGCAAATCAAGGATCCAATGGAAATTATAAAGTTGGCAGTTACTAGTCAAGGTGGAGCTTATCTAAATGTTGATGAAATTATTGAGGTCGCTAAGCTTCTCGGATTGAGCTCACAGGAAGAGATATCAACAGTTCAGGAAGCTATTGCCAGAGAAGCAGCATTCGCGGGAGATGTACAACTGGCTTTTGATCTGTGCCTCGTGCTTGCCAAAAAGGGGCACGGTTCTATTTGGGACTTGTGTGCTGCTCTTGCCAGGAGCCAAGCTATTGAGAGCATGGACTTGAAATCCCAAAAACTGCTTTTAGGTTTTGCTTTGAGCCATTGTGATGAAGAATCAATCGGTGAGATCCTTCAAGAGTGGGAGGATGTTGACATGCAAGACCAATGTGAAACTATGATTATCTTGACTGGAAGAGAGCCTCCTGAATTCTCAGAACAGAGTTCATTAAACTCTGGCGAGTTTTCCGGAAGGGTTAACATAAATTTTGATGACCACGAGCCACAGGTTGAAAAGGCAAAAAGTGTGCTCTCACTTGTTGCTAAAAATTTGTCATCTGAAAATGAATATGAACGGGAATCCCTTCTTAAGGAGAACAGGAAGGTGCTTTCATTTGCTGCCTCACAGCTCCCATGGTTGCTTGAATTGTGTGATAGCGAAGAACTTGGGAAAAAGCTTCCTTCAGGTTCAGCACCTGCAATCCAGTACGTTAGTATAAGAACCCAAGCAGTGATGAGTATTTTGTCGTGGTTGACGAGGAGTGGTTTTGCCCCAACGGATGATATGATTGTCTCTCTTGCTAAATCAATTATGGAACCGCCTGTTTCAGATGAGGAGGATTTTATAGGTTGTTCTGTTCTGCTAAATCTTGTGGATGCCTTTCATGGTGCTGAAATAATTGAACAGCAGCTGAAAACAAGGGACAACTACCGTGAATTTTCCAGTCTCATGAATGTGGGCATGCTATATAGTTTGTTGCACAGTTATGGCACTGAATGTGAGGATCCTGCTCAAAGGAGGGAGCTGTTGCTGAATAAGCTTCAAGAGAAGCACAGATTACTCAGTTCAGGTGATTACCTGCTGCATGTAAATATCTTGATTATTTTGCTATATATATTTTCACTGGTGTTAATGCAAATTTTGGGTATGTGTGTGTGTTTTTGTTGTTGACCTGCTTTTTCTGGAAGTAATTTGACCTTTTTCAACTTCAGACGAGTGCAGTATTGTACATGAAGCACAATCAACATTCTGGAATGAATGGAAAGTGAAATTAGAACAACAGAAGACTGTAGCCGATAAATCGAGGGTATTGGAGAAATTAATACCTGGGGTGGATACCTCTCGTTTCTTTTCTGGAGACAGAGAGTATATACAGAGTGTTATCTTTTCTCTTATCGAGTCTGTAAAAGTGGAGAAAAAGAGCATTCTGAAGGACACCTTAGTTCTAGCTCATACCTATGGTCTGAATCATAGCAAGGTAAACATTTGCTATGTAGTCTTGATAAGCTTCAGCTTCTCTTTCCTTTTATCTTTTCTTATTCTAGACATTAAATATTGTTCTATACACTCGGTTATTATTTCTTCTTTTATAGGTTTTTCTGCAGTACCTGAATACCATACTTGTTTCCGAGGTATGGAGTGTTGATGATATCACAGAGGAAGTTGCAGATTTTAAGGAAGAAATACTTGCCTATGCTGATGAAGCCATTAAATCCATTTCTTTGTCTGTTTACCCCGCAATCGATGGTCGTGATAAGCAAAGGCTTGGATTTGTATATAATCTGCTTTCTGATTGCTATATGCATCTAGAGAAAATGGGGAAATTAGAAAATGCTCTTGGGCTAGCACGTTTTTGCAAAATCGTTGCGGAAGAATGCAGCAGGGTTTCCTTCATTGAGGGCCTCGACTTTAAAAACATTGCCGGTTTGCAAGATCTTAACTTGAATAGGTTCAGTGATGAAGTTTGTTCTCAAATAGACGAGAGTAATGTAGAGGCACTGGCAACAATGGTCCAAAACCTTGTCCTTGTATGCGGTGATACAGTTCCTGCGGGTCTTGTATCTTGGAATTATATATATACACATTATGTGTTGAGCTCTTTGGTTACTTTAGAAGGAAAGGCCGAAACAGAGAAGACCCATTTTCAAAGCTCTGAAGAAATTGACTCTTTTGTAGACGAGGTCGAGCTTACATATGATAAAAGTTCAAAATATTTCAGATTTATCGAGCATCCAGGCATCTCAGACATAATGCTTCGGTTTTTCACTATCATCTTACCGATTGATAAAAATGTGAAGAATTTCCCTTGTGATTCAACTGGGAAGGAGTGTCTGGTCAAACTTATAACCTTCTGGCTCAGGTTGATGAATGATATGAACGAGCTAATTACGTCAGCCAAAAGGTTTTACTCTGAATTCTCAGTGAAATTCTTCGATGTTTCCAGAGATTTGCTCATCCACGGGACAATATCACCTAACCAGTGTTGGTGCACTGTTGTTAGCTATGTGACATATGGCCTTCAAAATAATTCCGCCATCGAAACTTTCAACTTTTTCCGAGCCATGATCTTTAGCGGCTGCGGTTTTGAAGCTATAGCTCGTGTCTTTTCTGAAATCGTGCACCGGGTCCCACCTGAAACATCACTGTTAATCACAGCAAATGAGGAGACTTCTGTTAATATCCAAGATCTTCCAAACCTGTACCTGAGCATACTGGAAACCCTTTTGCAGGAACTAGCCAGAGGGTCCCACGATTGCCAGAATTTGCACTACCTGCTATCGTCCTTGAGTAAAACAGAGGGCAACTTGGAAGATCTCAAGAAAGTAAGACTTTCTGTTTGGGAGAGAATGTCTAGATTTTCCGAAAATCTACAGCTGTCGAGCCGTACTCGCGTGTACGCGTTGGAGCTCATGCAGTTAATCTCTGGCCGAAAGATAAATTCGGACATGTTCTCTGCCGAGGCCCCTGTGTGCCTTCAGCCTTGGGATGGCTGGGATGATTTACAGGGTAGAAACGTAAATTCAGAGGCCACGTCTAGTGACCTGACTTCAGACGAGACTTCTAGCAGGTTTATGAGTACCCTCGTGGCCCTTAAATCGTCGGGGTTAGTTTCGTCAATTTCGCCTGGCCTGGAAATTACACAAGAAGACACTTTGTCGGTGGATTCTGCCGTTTCTTGCTTTTTAAGAATTTCCGAATTCGCCACCACTGCTTCGCATGTTGATGCTTTACGATCCGTTTTGGCTGAGTGGGAAGGGCTTTTTATTACAACATGCGTGAATAAAAACGACGCTGTTGAAGTATCTGATGATGCCAACAGCTGGACAAATGATGATTGGGACGAGGGCTGGGAGAGCTTCCAGGAAGAGTCAATCGAGAAAGCCTCAAAAGACGAAAATGCCCTCTCGGTCCATCCCTTGCATATTTGTTGGGCGACTGTAGTTAAAAAGCTGGCAGCATGCTCGAGACATACAGACATATTTAAGCTGCTCGACCAAAACGTCCCCAAAAATTGCAGAGTATTATTGCTCGACGAGGATGATACACGTGGCATTTGTCGAGCTTTACTGGAATCCGACTGCTTTTTAGCTCTCAAGTTGTCGTTAATGCTTCCTTATGAAGCCATACAGTTGCAGTGTTTGGATGCGGTCGAGAGCAAGCTGGAGGAAAAAGGCGTGTCGGATGAAATTGCCCTTGACTATTTCTTTTTCATTCTCGTTTTATCATCTGGAATTTTACCCAATATCATAGCCCAAAATTCTTACGGTACCATATTTTCTTACATTTGCTTCTTGGTCGGGAATTTCTGCCGGCGGGCCCAGGAGGCACAAGGGTCGTCGGCCAATGAGAGCAAAGAAAGCCTCGATTTCTTATTTGTGGAAGTTTTGTTCCCGTGTTTCATAGCGGAGCTCGTGAAAGCAGATCAGCACGTTTTGGCTGGATTACTTGTGACAAAATTCATGCACACGAATGCTTCACTTAGCTTGATCAATGTTGCGGGGCCGAGTCTGAGGAAATTCTTCGAAGGGCATTTTCGGGAATTTGAAGAAAGAGGGTCCCGGGAGGAGATTGTTAGCTTCTGCGAGCCGCTGTCGAATACTGTTGCCGGTTTGAGGGGCAATTTGGGTAATTTGATACGATCGGCAATATCGTTGCTGGCAACTGATGTTAGATAACTAGGTGCCAGTTTGCCTAACTTCAGACACCATGTTTGGTTTATAGCTAACTGAACGAGTTTTTGTACTCTGTTTTTGCTTTCTTATATTTATTAGACCATATATTTTTTTTTCCAATTTGTTTTCTTCAAAGATGAATTTATCCATGGACAATGTGTTATCTTTAGTTACATACTGAAAAGTAGTATAGAATACTTATTTAATAACTCGTCTCGATAAATAAAATTGTACAGATAAATAAACGAATTCGTTTTACGTCGGTAGAATAAATTGGTGAAAGAAAAAATAAACTAAAATAAATTGGAATTCCCTTTTCTTTTTCTAGAGAAATTTTATTTGCTAGATAATGGAGCTAAGTCGACCTGTAGATCGGTGCTAGATTGGTTAAAGTTCAAGTTCTTGGTTGTTAAATTCTTTAAGTTCGGTTCAGTTCCTTTGATAAATAGTTTGAATTCAAGCTCGTTTAATTTCATGAGTGAAGTTAAGCTCCTATATCCCTGAACAATACAATAACATATTTCTTACCACGACACATAAGATATTGGCAGGCAGCTGCTGATAACTTCATTGGATTGGAATTTGGAATTTGCACACTTGATACAGCTAATTTAACTATTAGAGCATCTCCAATGTGACTTTTGACATTGCAAAAAATTATCCATATCATCAACTTTTGAAAGTTTATTACTAATTTATTCTCCAATGCATCTTGTCATTAGCTCTTTCATGATGATGTGGATGACATTTAATGTTAACAATGTTGAACTCACTTTCTAATATCTAACACCATGTTAAACATGATGACTCATTAATTCATTTTATATTTGGTTTAATTTTTTATTATTCTTGTATTAATGAATTATTCTAATTGGTCCACCTATACAAATAAATTCTTATCAAATTGGTGCATTGGAGATACTAGTTTGATTCAAATTTTTAGCCTTTTAACATTATTCTTATGTGGATTAACATTACAATCATCAATTGACATGTGTTAAAAATTATTGCCTTTCAACACCATAGCATTGGAGATGCTCTTAGTAAATAAATCGAGTTGGAAATCATTTACTTAGTTAATGAGAGTCGGTAAATGCTCGAGCTTTAAAAATTTATAACTCATAGAGTTAAGAGCACCCACAATGCTTTGAGTCTCTTAACAAAAAATTACATGTTACATGAGAAATAGACTTAGTCTATAAAAAAATACTTCCTAATGCAGTTAAAAGTGGACATAGTCTAGTTTATGTGGCAATGAAAAAAAAGACCAAGTCCACACTTGGGTCTATTTTGGACCCAAGTACAAACCCAAACACTCATCATTTGTTCTTAATTTAATTTTTCTTTTAATGAATAAAACATATTAGAGCATTTTTATTGGTTGACATGTATGCTAGACCTAGTATTTTTATTTTTGCATTGCAAAGTTTTTGAGTTTTTTTACTTGAGTTTGTTCATGTGATTTAAGACCCAATTTCAATTATATGCGACATATACAAAAATACATCCAAAAACATATACAAAAATACATCCAAAATATTGTAGATGCTCTAAGCCCGTCTCGTTTAACCGAGGTCACGAGGCCCACGACACATGTCAGATAGTTAATGCTAGGAGTCAACACTTACAGACTTGAAATAACCAAGGGGACAAGGGGTCCTCGACCAAATCCCCACATAATACATAATTTGTAGATCTACAAATAAAGTGACGAGTTCGACACTCCAAATCATTCATTAGTATTTTCAGAAGCTGATGCGATTAAGGTATGGAGAAATTACCGGCTGATCTTTGCCTGAAAATTTTCTGTTGTCTTGATCATCAGAATCTTGCAGCTGCTCAATTAGGTCAGCATCATTTTTTTTTTTTAATTTGTAATTGCGATTTACGAAATTCAATCTGAAGGCATTTGGGGCAGTTTTTGGATGACGATTTCGTCAATATCTGAGCTGCGTTTGCTTTATTATGCTTCAATTGTAATTTTTTGTTAGGGTTCATTTGATTCAAAGCACCTTCGTTGGTTCATGGTTGTACTTTTGTGGTTTGTGATCTGAATGTATAGCCCTAGCTTATATTATCTGCAAAAATCTCTAGAAATGAAAAATTTACTGAATAAAAAAAAAATGCTTGCTTTCTGGTCCAAGTCTGCAGGAAATGGAGAAACTTAGCCTCGGATGATATTCTATGGTCTAATCTCTTTAATAAAAGATGGGGCATTGATCATGACCGCCCCACATTTGATTCTCCCGTCTGTTCGAAACCATGGAAAGACATCTACATTGTTCAAGAACGTTGTCATCGATTTGGATTGTGAGTTAAACCTCATCGTACATTAGTTTATGTAGAATTGCATGTGTTGACCTGTCTCAGCCATTTCATATTCATGTCTTCGTAAAAAAAGTTTTTGTTGTTTCCTAAACATTTCCTATGTTAAAAATGGGAAAAAAGGATATTCAAGTTTGAGCTAACCATTAGTTTTGAGTTTCAAGATTGTTAATAGGGTTAATTGTTGTAGTTTGATGGTTAGCTTGGCTTTTATGTCTCGGCCATTTCATATTCATGTCTTCGTAAAAAATGCTGTTGTTGTTTGCTAAACATATCCTATGTTGAAAATGAAAAAAAAAGGATATTCGAGTTTGAGTTAACCATTAGTTTTGAGTTTCAAGATTGTTATGGGGTTAATTGTTGTAGTTTGATGGTTAGCTTAGCTTTTATGTCTCGGCCATTTCATATTCATGTCTTCGTAAAGAATGTTGTTGTTTGCTAAACATTCCTATGTAAAAAATGAAAAAAAAAAAGGATATTCAAGTTTGAGTTAACATTAGTTTTGAGTTTCAAGATTTCTGTGGGATTAATGGTTGTATTTTGATGGTTAGCTTGGCTTTTATGTTTAGATTCGAGCCTAAACGGCTTGTTTTCGATTGTAGCATGACATGATTCCATTTGTCTTGCTTTTTCAGGGGCTGGAAGATTATTAGGGAAGGAGATGATTATTTCTTAATTCATAAAGGTGAGATCCAACGGCATCTAGTGTCGAGACGAATGGAATCTCGACCGTACAGGTGGCCTAACAGCAGAAAAGCAGAACCTGTGGATGATCAAACGCGCTCTATCATCGTGGATAGTATTATTTTTGTCATTGGGGACATGGAGAATGCTTCAATGCAATCAAAACGAAGTCGATTGGTGTAGATATTTGTGTTCACTCCAGTTTAGATGGGTTGTAATGTGTTATTTTTGTATGTTCTATTGCAAAATAAACTGTGCGTGTTGCATTAGTGTGCTTGACAGTGTTATTCCCCCCTTTGATTTTGATAAACTGTGTAACAGTGCAAGATTATCCTGTCTGATGCAGTTTTTGTAAAAAACTGATTCAAATTCTTTCATCAAATTCCTAAATTGCCTCTCTAATATGGGTTCTAAGCTAAATCATTCAAAGGGGGCTAGCTTTTCATGTACTGCCACTTCTAATTTGTGCTGGTTTTTATTATTATTATTATTATTATTATTATTATTATTATTATTATTATATCTGTCATAATTTACTGCAGAATTGTCCTTATTTACGTAGCATAAAAAGTAAAAATTCCAGTTGCATTAACACCTTACAATTTAATGGGATAAATATTGGGAATGAAAATTTGACAAATATGGTTAGTCAGGCTATTCGAATTTGTAAAGGAAAAACACGGTGCCTTTGAAAAAGACGGGATTTTTCGGATCAATTTCATGTGAAAAATAAATGAAATAGAACAGGATATAATAAAAATAAAACATAACATGGAAAAATATATTATTATAGTGACGTGGAAATCGAATTACGCAACCCTCCACTAAATTTACACAAGATGCACGAGTAAATTTTACGCTCCGTCTCCACCTCGACTCGGAATCTCGGATTGAGCCCTTTGCCTCGGCGCGTCCGCCTCGACCAGCCTCCGCCTCCGCCTCCGCCCCTAATTTTGAGTTAAAGGTTTGGGGGAGTTTGATTACTTTACATTGGTTTGTTGTTTTTTCATGAATTTTAAAGTTTTGTGGCTTGGATATGTTTGAAGCTTCTTGCGCAGAACAATTGGGAATACATGTTTGATAAAAGAAATTGTTCAATTTTCTTTTTAATGTGAAAATGTGGGAAGAAGCATCTGATAATATCTCTGAAGATACATTTATGCTGTAAATTATGTCTACATTTGATTGTTTTGTGATTGATCTAGTTTCATAATGTAAATTATTTTGTGTATTGAAATTGATTATCATATTCCTGTGATTTATTATTCTCTCTGGCAATACATTATGGAAGTTACCAAATCTTCCAAACATAATTACATAACCTTAAAGTACATGATTTTGCACTATTTTTTGTTTCTCATTTTTTAGCTCAGCTGGTTAGAGCAAAGGATCATTTATGAAGCTTGTGATTATATTTAAAAGGGTGTTCCGAATCGTTGGGTCATAGAGTCTGAATTGAATATTTGGACTTTTCTTTGTCGTGTGGATAGATCTTAGTACTCCTCCTCATACAGCCTTTTTACCCACATCGAGAAATTACTTTGCACTAGTCCAAATAAGAAATTGCTTGTAAAGGGACGAAGTAGGAACGAAGTAGCTCAACCACTAGTTACCTTAAAGTTACCTTGCAGTCACAAGCCAGCCAATCCTCATTGCTAGTTGTTTCACAATATTCCTAGATCAAATTATGCACCAGACCAAGACAAAAACTACGAGACTGTGACCTCTCCTACACTTCTCTGTTGAGACGTATTTTAGATTTTTTATCAAATATTTGCTTGTTGACTTCACTCAGTTGTAAATTTCCTAAACAAACAAAACCCCTTTTGTTTATGGGTTTCCGAAATCAGAACAATTTCTTTTTTCCAGGTAATTTTTCTGTGGACGTGTGTTGAATTTTCGTTTCTTGTTTCTTCTCTGTGGTATGGTAGTTTTGGTAGGTAATTTCCTTCTATCTTCTTCATTTTATTCTGTTCCACCTTTTCTTGAGATTCCACAGATCTGCAGTTTTGATTTAGTTATTAGAATCTGTGTGTGTGATGTTTGCATAAGCAATTGTATTTCTTAGAATTTTCTCAAGTGCATTTGGTTACGGAATTGTAAAGATGCAGTCTTCGAGAGTATCTTTTTATGGGTTTGATTTAATTGATAATCTCAGGTTACATGCCAAACTGTTGAATTTGTTTTATGTTAAAATAGGGAATTATTCCTTTTTTTTTTCCAGATAATCTGCTGTTTTTGTTGGCAAATATGAGATTTTTTTGTATTATCTTTATCATCATTATATTGTTGGGCAGATAGTTCTAAATGTCTGGTTTGCTGATAGTTTACTCATGGTAATGGTAAAAATAGCGTGATACATGTGAGTTATGCTTTTTCTTTTTT